CATTTCTTGGCAGGTGAAGCTGAACACCGAAATGCCAGAAGAACTTCCGAGTGAAGACGTGCCTGAGAACCTTGGGCCTTCAACCATAGCTGAGGTCTTGCGTGGTTTTCCTACAGAATGAAAATGAATGAAATGATGTCACATAGTCCTTCTATATAATGATGTCGAACCATGTGTTTTCCTTGTTTGGAACTCTGGCAGACCTGGGAAGGAACTCGGCAGTAGCAAAGGAGGGGTTCAGCAGATGTCAATGTATAGAGATGTATAGAGATTCTATAAATCCTTTCAGCTTCTATGGTTTCTTTGTTTTTTCACCCATCTCCCTGTGCTTGCTTTAGCACCCTCGGCAGGGGAAGCAGATGAAGATGCAGATGTCAGAAGAACTTCCGAGTCAAGAGGGGCCTGGGAACCTTGGGCATGCTAGGGTTTCTCTATGTTTTTCTACAGAATGGCAGGATGTCACACAGTCCTCTTATGGAATGCTTGTTTTTACCATGAGAAAGGCATGAGTGCACGATTTCTATCGATTCCTATTGATTTGTGAAGTGATTTGGCTGAGATCAAAGCCGCGTCGGGGTAGTGCCTTCCAAAGAGCTCGGATGGAACCTTACAGACAAGACATGTCTCAGCTTCCAAAACGTTATTCAAGGCTTTTAGGGTTCTTCGCTGGGTCATGCAGAAGCTCCTTGCTGCTTGTTTGTGCCTGGTGGATTGCGTGTTGGATATAGTCGTGCCAGCGTTGGAGGAGGCCATGTCAGATGATGGTGACAGTGATTTTGAAGTCGTAGACGTAGAGCCAGAGTCTGAGTCTCCTTTCCATGCATCTCCAGAACCGTTGGCGACCAGTCTAGATGCGAGACATGTTCGATCTGCAGGAAGTCCGCCGACATGTTCACATGGAGACCCATGCAAACTATCGATATCATTGTCCCAAGAGAATTTGTATCGGGCGTTCTGGCACTGCAGTCACACCAAGGGTTGCTCATTTACTGAGTGGGCTGTCTACCAACCTTTCTGAAAAGGACATCCAGAAAGCAGCGCAAGTCCATGTGGCCATCGGAGGACGAGCTGGCAGGGGAGCAATGGGCATGTGAAGAGGAAGAAGTGCTTGGACTGTGGAACATTGCTTGTCCACAAGATCCGTGAGGCAGCTACAGATAAAGGCAAAGCTGCCAGCAGGATCCATCAGGCCAAAGGCTATGATGGTTGACGGCTGATTCATTGGTAGCTAACTTATGTGGCATCAATAGGGTTCATTAGGATCCGTTTGGCACTTCAATGTCAATTCGATGCACCAAATTAGTGCCAAATTAGCAGCCCTAGATCGTTCAGCTGTATATATTCGGCTAGTATTCAGTCTCTACAGAATGGAAGGTATAGAGACAAAGGCCCACTGCACCCTCCAGTGTTGTTCATTGCTCTTCCACGCTCTTCCATACTCTTCCATACTCTTCCATGTTTTTCCATGGGTGCTTGCATCCACCGACCCAGGAATGGATCCAAACATGGTATATTTGAAGATCCGAATGGGTTCATCACTCCGTACCTTGGGCCTGATTACCTACTACAGAATGGTATGCAGCTTTGAAAGTCCTATAGAATTATACTGAATAAACATGCATAGTGATCCATAGTAATCCATAGTCAGTGGTTCTGGGCTAAGGAAGAGAAAGCGGCAGCGGATGTCATACCAAAGCCCTGTCGCCAAGCCACCTCAAGAACCGATCCTAAGTTTGGAATGTGGCAGGTGTCTTTTTTGTTGTTTTGTTATTTTTACAGGGTACTATGAGACTTTGATCGGTTTTGAGTCTCTGTATGGGTAATGTTTTCTATCATTCTTGTATTTGTGTATATTCGTGTGTGTTCCTTCTCTTCTAGAGCATTTGTGAGACGATGCATTCTATAGGACAATGAAAATGTTCAGAGCGTGACTACATACCACTCCTTAATAAAAGCTGCCCTAATGATCCTATAGGATGGCAATGGTAATGAACGCTTCTATAGAATGGTTGTGGTAAGATGAAAAAACAAGGTGTCTGAATCTTTGGCTTGACATCAGGAACCTTGGCCATGTCAAGAAGGAACCGATCAAGGTAGACAAGGTGCAGAAACCTGCAGCAGCCAAGAAGGAGGTGCAGAACTCTATGGACCTTGAGGACAAGTCAGATTTCATGGAGCATGTCCTTCATTCACATGCAACGAAAGTTCTCACTCCTGGGCACTACCTGGAGATGATTGATATTTTTCAGTATGCGATGTTTTGTGGCGCTGACTTGAACCTTCTCATCCACCAGAATGGGACTCAGATCCTACCATTGACCGATTTCTTGACAGAGATCAGTGGTCTCGAGGTTTCTTGCCCTGACCATCCCCGACACTTTGACCTTTTCCCCTTTGTTTGCATCATTTTGTAGGCATATGTGGCGGGTGCAAACCATTGTATAGAGGTATTGGTGAGCCCCAATCATTTTGTAGAGGGCTTTCTTGGGGGATCAGTTCAATGGCCAAGGTTGCAGGTGCTGATGGTGTGGTGCGATGGCATCTTGTTGGGACACCATCTACATTTGAGCCATGGAATGGAGAGGACTTCCGGTCCTTGAACCACTGGCTTCCTGCCTGGCCTGTGACGGCCTGGCCGGAGGATGTCGATGTGCAGAAGCAAGTGGTAGACAAAATCAAAAGTCAACGGCTGCCCTTGGATCCTGACACAGGCACATCAGAAAGAGTGTGTGCCTTCATTCAGGATACTTTCAACAAATTTGGGCTTGTTGTCCTAGATGTTCCTCCTGAAGGAAATTGTGGCTGCTGGACTCTTTTGGCCCTTTTGGAAGGAAAGCTGCCCATGTGTGACGAGGATCAGAGTGAATCTTTTTCTCGAGGCTCACGAGCCCAAACTTGCCTCCAAATGCAGAATGCGTGGAGAGGATGATGAAACTCCGCCAAGAGTTATCATCCATGTGGAATTCCGTCTCACACGAGAAGGAATGGCAGTACCTTTTTGAGCAGACTGCATGGGAGGAAGTCGAAGAGGTCAGGCAGCAACTGCAACAGGGTTATTTGCACAAGGTAAAGGCAGAGAGTGGCAAAATGCCCAAGACCACTGCCAAGACCCCAAGCCAGCCGGCGACGCAGGGAGTCAATGCAAAAGAGCGCACACCAGAACATGAAGCGAAGCACCAGAATCTTCCACAATCACAAACACCTACAAGACTCATCCAGCCAGAGTGGCAGGGTGCCGGCCAGCCAATTTTGGGATGCCAGTGAAACGAGATGTAGCTTTGTTGAAGCCTTGTGGTGTGAGGATGCCTGAGGGTGACGATGACACAGAGGAAGTGCACCAGGACGAGAAAGTACGCTTTCAGAAAAGGAAGCGCCAAAGATCTTGCCAAAAGGCGACACCTTCCAAGAGTGCACTGCTACAGACTGGCATCCGTCAATACTTGGGCAAGATCGGCATGACCTGGCCAGTGTTCCAGAAAACGCATTCCAGGCCAGGGTTCTGCTGAGTGCTCACAGGACCCTATAGAATGGCTTTGTGTGAGCAGAACATATAAAAAGTGTTCTACAGAATGGTGGGACGATAAAATGGTTGTTCATAATGTTGTTCTGTAGAAAAATGGTTGTTCATAATGTTTCATGATTATCTACTAAACATTTTGAGAACGCTTTGACTGTCAGGCACGCACCCATGAAGAAAGTCAATCATTGTGGGACTGGTGGCTATGTGAGCATACAGAGAACTATGATGTCGATGGTCGTGTCTCCAGAGGGGAGAACAGCAACTTTCACACCTTGCAAGGCATGTGAGGAGATGATGGAGGTGTTTGGATTTGACCGGGATGCGATGGAACAATTTGTGGAAGCATATGCTACAGATATCTCTCGCGAGAAGAATCCAAACAGTGATACTCAACCAGAAGATAACCAGCAGCCTTCCAACACCAACAAGAAGATCAAGAAGGGCAAAGCAGCGAAGGCAACAGAGGAGGGCGAGGATGCACCGGACGCTGAGGAGGAGGAGGAGGAGGAGGCTGATCCCTTCGCTTTCGCCCGTGCCCTCTACCCAGTGATCCAATTGCTAGAACCAGGGGAGTTCGGCAAAGCATTCCCCTACAGATGCACAATCTGTAAAACAAAGACTTGGCCAGAAGGCAAAGTCGGAGATTGCGTAGAAGCAAAAGCCAGCAGTGTGAAGTTCTTTGTGGCACAGCACATCAATTGCATTTCCCATCAGAACAAGCTCAAACTGATCCAAGAGAGAGAGGAAGCCAAGCTCGTTCCGTGCGAGGGCCTTTGCATTGGTGATGTAGCGACTGCAGGAACTCTCCACTCCTGGCAGGCTGAGTTCAAGGTTTGGGCCAGCATGGCCAACTTTGGCCACTACGGAAGACACAAGTATTGGCATGTTGCTTCTGAGGATTCCTGGATGCAGGTTGGAATCATTCTGTAGGGATATGATATGGGGGCAAACATTCTATAGGGATCACATGGGATCACATTGAACATATTGCACACCCACCCAGTGTGACTGTGTGATAGTGACTGATACTCGTTACTGTAAACCTGTAAACCTTGTGGATTTTTCAGATGCATTAATGCATGATCTTTTTGTAGTGCTGTTTCTAGGACAGCGCATTCTATAGAGCCCTGAGTGGGGTGAAACAAAGCATTCTATAGACCCCTCAAGAAGTGTTTGCTACCTTGTCTCTGAGGACTGCTGGTATGTCCGGGCAAGCCAGTGCCAAGTGCAGTGTGAACCAATACCTTCACGGGCACGGCAGTGCTGCTCAGAGTGCATTCAACTTGGCAGGCCACATGGGATAGTGCGGTCTGTGGCACGCTTCGCAGTTCGATACTATGCAGCTCGCTTGCTGTCAGCCAGGCTGTTCCAAGGCGCTGATGCGGTTGCCAGTGTAGAGAAAGAGATTCTGAGCTCGCAGCTTTTTGCCCAGGACCACAAGAGAATGCAAGAGATAATGACCTTGAGCAGTGGAAAACTACAGCAATTTGTGCGAGCAAGCTGGTTGAGTGAGGCCAAGGGTGGGCAAACAGAGGCCTTCAAAAACTTCAACGCTGTGGCTGTTTATCCATCCCTGCAGTGCAACATCAGCAACATTCCTGATCGAATGTCAGATGTAGTTGCACGGTTTGATGCAATCCTCTCAAGCCAGGAAGGAAGTGACCAAGACCTCGCCAACCTAAAGCTGGCCTCAGCAGCCCTGAAAGGCTCACTATCCATGCACCCATTGGTGCATGGACTCGCGCTGCAATGCGCTCGTTTGTGTGAGAAGCAGGAACGCGGAATCTTCACGATGAGGGGACGGCGTTCCAAGGAGACCTCCTTGGAGACGGATCTCATCTCGGACGCTGGACTACAGCTCTCCATAGCATGTGGGAACAAACAGCTGATGCAAATGTTTGGCCTTGCAGTCAGAGCCCACAAGACGGCATTGGACGACCTGGAGCTGAACAGCCTGCCAAGTCCTGCCCTGGCATTGCTTTGGCCGGACATCTTGAAGAAGAATTGGATGCTAGTGGACCAAAGGATCCCTAAAATGCAGGGCCTGGACCATTGTATCTTGTTTGACTTTGCCTTGTCATTTTGTAGTGAATTCCTTTGTATCCTTCATTTTATAGCAGGCGGTTTATGTTGAATCCAGGGTGGTCCTGGCCAACCCCCTACAATTTGTAGTTGTGTTTTTGAAGTGGTCATTCTGTAGAGCCACGTTTTTGCACAATCAGGCCGCTTTGTCATGGCCTTTGACTGCACTTACCTGACACAGACCATGACACAGATGAAGCTGCATGGGGCACAAGGTCTAGCCGGAGGGATGTGGACAGCAGGAAATCCTGACAACGCATGGATTTCCTTGGAGAAGGAAGAGATGATCGACGTCCAGGGCGTGCCAAAGGCAGCAACCATGCTTGAATGCCTTGCTTGGGACCCCAATTTGCGGACCAAGATTACATTGTCACCATCATGCTCAATGCCGATACAGCACAATTTCCAGGGCATTGGCGGGCAAAACAGGTCACAGTGGTACATGATGGACCTGATCGGAAGGGTCGTTGAGGCGTCAGATGGCTTGGTAAGGGCCCTCATCTTCGACGCACATGCATCCCACACATTCATTGTGAAGGCATTGCATGGCCAACTCCAGGGCATGGACTTGACAGTGCTCAACACCATCCCATGGTTTGGAAAACTTGAGTACACTTCACTGTTCCAGACTGCTTTGCCGAGACTTCCAATCAAGATAGCTCTGCACCGGAACCAGCCAGTGTGGGCGTTTCCCGGCATTTGTGCCTCAGTTTGATGTATGTATTTGCATTTGTATGTAAATTTGATGTATTTATTTGCATGTATTTGTTGTAATTTGTTGATAGTTTTGTCTTTAGTTTGCAATGCTCAACTATAAAATGACTGGTATAGACGATATTTCCCTATACAATGGCAGCTCTAAACAATCTTGCCTATAGAATGACTGGTGCAAGTCACACCTGCAGGCCATGCAAACAAGAATACAGGGGGGCAACTTTGCAGCCACCTACGTGCAATGTACTATGGCAAGTATTGGTGCGATGTGACACAGGCCAGGAGCTTTGGCCTACCCCCTCAGAGCTACGGGAGGGAGAGTCCAATGAGTGACCGCATGCAAGCACTTCTTTGCAACCCTTGGTTTTATGTGGAAGACACAGTCCCTTGCATGCGCAGTAGTACTGATTTTGTGGATTGTCATTCTATAGTAGAAGTGTTTGACACCCTCAATTTTGTAGATTGGTTGAAGAATGTTGAAGATGTCTGAGGAAGGGTCAGTGGCCACCTTGGAAGTCCCATGGTCGCTGAAGGGCGCATTGATCCACCACAGCATAGTCGCGTGCTGTGTGGCTTCTGTTTTGCACACTCACATTACATTGGAGCAAAGGGCTGAGTTGGCGCTCACCGGCTTTGCGGCGCTGGACATCTTTCGGTTTTTGGCGGATGACAAGGCTGAAGAGATGAAAATGCCTAAGGGCACATGCTTCATGGCATCCCAAACGGTGTACAACCTGCAATCAGCTGCTCTGGCTGTAGCATTGGCCTGCCACACAAAGCCAGAAAACTTCTGTCCTTGGCGCTATGGGTTTGGGCGAATGTCAGAATTGGGAATCGAACACTGGTTTTCTTACCTTCGCTCCCAGAGCTCCAACTCGCAGCTTTCTGCAAGGGGGTTCTGGTACGCAGCAGCACGCCAATTGCTAAAGACTTCCAAAGTGATCAACAAGGAGAAAGCACCAAACCCTGCCTGCGAAGCACCCTTGAATGAGGAGCAGCCACTTGCGCTCAGACTCATTCACCGCTTTGCTCATCTTCCCTTGTTTTCCATTTACGTCCATTTACATCCATTTACTATAATTGTATAACATATTTATATATTTTTAAAAATAGATATATGTATTATTTTGTATCTATGTTTATTACTATAGGATGCCAGTCCATCTCTATACAATGCAGGTGAACAGACCATATTCTGTATAAAATGGTGTGATGCAGCTCAGGTTCAAGAAGGTTTGTGAGAGAGCCTTGGCGGCTGCTGTTGGGTTGGCTTCTAGGTGCAGCGGCATCAAGGACATCTTCATTGAGACTTCCTACCGGAGGCTGAGCGGCAATGAAGCACTCTTCCAGCCTGAGCCTCTTGCAGAGGATGAGCTTGATGAGAATGAAGATTGTGCTATGAAGGCAGATGAAGAGCCAAATTGCTCGGATTTGATCACCCGTTTGCAGGATGACGGACGTGCAGTGAAAGAGATGGATGAAGGCAAACTGCCTGAGGACATAGAGGAAGTGGAGATGGATCTTGACAAGGTCAGCGACAAGGAGGAGCTGATCAAATTGCTTCAGAAGGACAACCCTGAGTGTGTCTTCCGGTCCGAGAACTCAGTGTCGCCCAAGAATTCCAAAGACTTCCTACCTACCACCCTTTCTGAAGTGCTCGAGCTCAAAGACCTGTGGAACGGGCTTTTTCGGCTGAATCTACGTTTGCGGTCAACCAAGGGGGTGTGATGTTGGGTTTGTCAAGAACCCAAAGAACTGCCGCCGTGCGGCCAAGAATCTCAACTGGTATCAGTTTCTTGGCACTAACTCAAATATACACTGTACTTTAAAAAAACATGTGGGCGTGTTATTTTATAGAGATTTTTCTTGAACAAATCATTTTATAGACACAATTCTTATCAATTCTGTTCTATTGTTATCTATTTCTTTGACATCCTTTGACTTCCCTATAAAAAGTCGCGCGCAAATGAAATAAACCCAATCAAATACATTCAGCAGAGGTATAATGAGAGAAGACTCGCTGCCATGCGGGCTGAACGTGATGAGCCCCACTACAACACCAGAGCTGGCAGACTGGATAAGTGGAAGGAACTAGTTGCCAGCAGCCAAAAGGAGTTGCAAATTCCGGTGGCTGCGCCCGAGAGATTGATGATACTAAGCTTAAAAGGCACACAGTCAAGTTTTTGGACATGTGTTTACAGAATTGATGATGGGTCCACAGATCCACTGTTTGTATCTGTTTGTCACTTGTTGCTATAAAATGACCGGACATCGTCAATTAAAGAAGTATTGTGTTTTAGATTTTCTAGAGAATGACCAGAGACAAGAAGAATTCTACAAAATGCAATGCTCTCACATTGTACCAAGGCCTGGCAGTTGCATTGTGTTCATCAGGCCTTCTTCAGAGCCTGCAATGCTGGTCGGGATGGTCCTCACAGTGTGGAAGGGGCAGAAGCATCCACGCATGTTTGCAGGAGAGGTGCCAATCAGCTGTGTATCGGCAATGCGGGTGGTCGAGCTTCAGCTGTCGTCCAAGGACCTGGGCTACTGAAGAATACTGAAGACATACACTGGGTTTAGATCGCTTTAGGATGGTTTGGGACCGTTGGAAATGTTCAGGGCTCTTTTCAATTGAATCCTTTTCAATCCATTTTATAGAGATTTTTCACATCGAAGTCATTCTATAGAAAGTCTGAACTTGTCCCCAGGAGAACAACTTGGTTTGGGGATGCAAGGATACATCCAATGCTTGGGTAGCAAGAGTGGAAAGTTTGGTCACAGTCTTGGATGTTGAAAATTGTTCCTCGACTTTACTACAGCCCTGCTGTGAATTCATGTGCTTACCTCATTTTGATTCATATGTAGAATTGGGCTTTGTTCAATTTTGCGAATTTTGTTCATATCATTTTGTAGTGTTTTTGTTTGGGCCACCTAGATGCTTAGCATTTTGTAGTCATTCATTTTGCGCCAGCTAGGTACTGAGCATTTTGTAGGATGTGTTTCTTGGGCCACTTAGGTGCTCATCCAATGTTCAGCAATGGAGCCTTGCGCATCACTCTGACCCCAGAGTCGGCCCGTGCGCTTGAGAGAGTGCCTCAATTGAAGATGTGGGAGGTGCAGCCCACTATGGTGAGAGGGTGGCCTGCTGCCAAGGGGAAGGCTATGCCTGCACCCAAGCCTCACATTCGCAAGGGGCAGCAGAAGCGGAAGGACCAGGATGAAAAGGATTTGGATGCGGATGTCCAAGAGCTTTTGCCAACAAAGAAGCGCAAGAATCAGAAGGAAGAGGAGATTCCTGTGGCTTCTGAGATGAACGCGCATGATTTCCGCAAATCCGAGAAGGGCAGAAAGGCTATTGTGACTGTGATGAGGGACTTGTGTGAGCTGGATCAGAAGAAGTTCATCAAGCAACCACTCTTTGATGAACAGGGCCGATGCAGGTTGAACTCGGATGGTGCTCGCAAGTTGACCCGCGACCAGATCATTGACAGTTCGGGCGCTTGCTTTGAAGCTTTGCCACCTAGCAAGCATACAAATTGTTTCAAGTCTTTGGTTCATTCTGTAGTTGTTTTATTTTGGGACATTGTTGGATCCATTCATTCTATAGTGGTTAATGGTTGATTGATTTTTGGATATTTTTGGTTTGGTATCATCATTCTGTAGTCTTTGTTGTTGGGCCCATGCATTCAATAGATGAATGACATCTAAATATATCTAAATATGTATAAATATGTTACTTGATAATACTTGATGGATCTTGATGGATCCTGATTGTGCTTGGTGTCTTTTTGATCAGGTATCATCATGTTCCAAGCAAAGAGCTCTATGGCAAGCAAGTGGAAAAGATCCTCCTGGGGATTCGAGATCAGCTTGATCGAGAAGAGCCTAGGCGGTCTTCTTTTCTGCGCTTGGTGAAGGACATTGCAGACTATGTCAATGCAGTGCCAGCTCCAGCTCCCCCTTCCTCTTCAGAGAAGAAATGACATAGTGTTTTAATTTTGTATCCTGGTGTGTTGAAGTCGCTTATACCATTCTATAGTGCAACTCGCTTATACCATTCTATAGTGCATCAGTGTTCTACCATTCTATAGTGGAAAAACTGCTCTCGGTAATCCGTGAAAATGCACACATGGATCTTGCAGGCAATTAAATAGGGATGCCTTAGGCACAGTAGGCAAAATGCCGGAAAGAGATGCCTTAGGCACAGTAGGCCAGTAGGCAAAAACTGCCAGACATGCTATCGATCCGAGGGTTGGTCGATGCAGAAAAAGAGATGCAGCTCTATAATACTATAGATTGGCCGGGCCATCATGTCCTATATAATGTTTGAACTCGGTTGGATTGTTCAAGTGGAACTCCTATAGAATGAGTTCCGAGTGTTTATTGGACTACACAAGCATTTCCTATAGAATGAGTTCTCAGGCGCAGCAATGAAAATCAATCAAATCTATTCAAATCTCAGAAAGCTCTACTTCTCGAGTTGTTTGTGTCTGCCATCTTCCTGTCTTCTTCTGGCCTGTTTTCAGGCACATGTCATTCTATAGGTCTATATCCTGCCATTTTATAGGAATCGGTGAGGGGCACCGAGATCTATACTATAGAATGGCTGCCGCGACGTCTCCCCTGAAATTGGCACAAGGATGCTTCTAGCGCGTGTGAGGTGCCGGTTGAGGGTTTGGTTGTGACAGAAACAAACAAAGAGCATAGAAGAAAGCAGCATCGCAAAGACAACAAACGGCGCAAATGGGAGGCCATGAAGAAGACCCGTCTTGTTGAGAAGGGGCAGAAGAAGCTTCCGCGTGGTGAGTTGTCTATGGTTGTGATGATGCGTGACATGGTTGAGTTCTACACCGCACAGGCCCAGGCCAATAAAGGCAAGATAGCAAAACGCTTTGAGGCACTGGCCGTCGAGGTGATGAAGGAGCTCGAGAGTTTTGAACAACCACAAACGCAGACTGACCCAACCTGTTTGACTGCGAGCACTGTGAGGCAGCGTTCAAGGCAGACTGGCCTCAAGGGCCGTGGCATGCTCATTGAGTTGTGCACCGAGCCGGACTCCAACCTAGGTGCTGTTGGTGAGAGGTTGAACGTCAAGGTCACACGTTGTACCAAGGAGGTGAACAATTTAGAATATGAGAGTACCACGGCACACCTGAAGAACTTCATTCGTGAACATCCAGGTATTGATTTGTGGGCTAGCCTTCCTTGTGGCCCGTGGAGCCAATGGCAGTACCTCAATGCACACCGCTATGGGGCAGAGTTCAGAAAGAAGTTGGCCAGGTCGAGAGACTTGTCGTTGAAGCTGCTTGATCGCTTTTGCGAGCTTGCTAGATGTGTTGTTGAGCATGGTGGAGATGTTCATTTTGAATGGCCCAGGCATGCATTGGGTTGGAAGCAGGCTGCATTGTGCCAGATCATTCGAGACATTGGCGTGACAGTGGTGAATTTTGATGGTTGTGCGGTTGGACTTGTTGATCGGCAGGGCACGCCGTTCCTCAAGAAGTGGCGAGTGGCAACAACAAAGAGAACCTCGCAAAGAACTTGAACGAGTGCCGATGCAAGCATGATGCTGATTTCAAACATGCACCCATCACAGGTTCCAACACGAGCACGACTGCAAGATACCCAGAGATCATGTGTGAGATTATCTTCTCTTCTTTGTTTCCTGACCTTGTTTTCAAGGAGGTGCCCGCCATGCCCGTTTGCGAGGCAGCTGTTTGCGTGGTTGCACAGGAGCATGTCGAGAAGGAGCCAAAGGAACAGGTCTACCGTGGACCGTTGGTCATTGAAACCGTTGATACCTTTGCAACTCCCGCCGAGCTTGAGGATGACCTTGCCCCTGCGGACGACGAAGCTGAGTTTGCAGAGTCGAGAGATGATAGGTTGAAGCGAGAGGCAAAGAGCCTAGACCACATCACGACCCACGCGAAGAAGAATCCGTTTTGTGAACATTGCGCGCGCGGTCGAATGTTGAAAAGATATGCCCACGGAGTTCGACCTGAGCCTAGTGATGAAGCGTACGAGCGCTCGGCTGCTTTTGGC